ACTGCGAAAACACAATATACTCGTAGGTATAATAAAAGTTATTTAGATCAACAAAAACAATATTTTTGAATTAGTTAATGTTGAAGCACTAGGTTCAATGTTAGTATAAGTACTCGTATATTAAAATTTATAAATCATGATTTTTCTATAGTTTTATAAACTAAGTAATTATATTCATTTTTTTTTTTATTAAAAAAGTTGACTTTTATTTTAATCCATTGTATGACGTTTGGGTGGAAAATTTAAACGAATTTAATACTTAATTGATTCTAAAAAGGTATAATCGCAACACAAACACAATAACTACTTGCTTATAGTTTGTTACATTTAAACTTTTATTAATATTAATAATTTACTTTTATTATTGTGGCTTAAGTTTATAAGCTTTTTTTTAAAAGTCAAAATACTTTTACATCTTACGATATCTCGAGTTGATTTTTTTCTGACATTATTACTGCTGTAATAAATCGACAATACAACAGTGTAATCTTTAAAGTTTTATTCGCTCATTTTAAATTATATGTACTAATATTGATTGTTCTTGAAACAATTTACTCATATACATTAACATTTCTATAGTTTTAAAATATATATATATATATTTTTTTAATGTTAATTATTAACTTTTAATATTCAAACTGTAAATTCCTGAAAACGTACTTGTTTATTACCAGTTATTGACAGATACGATGCTAAATTCATTGAAACTTTTGATTATAAAATATTAAGACAATCGCCCATATTCATCAACTTACTCTTATTCTTTGAGAAACCTTTCAAAATTCAAATACGAAATATACGATAATAATATTTATTATTGTTAATTTGGTAAATACCTATTTAGTTAAATGCAGTAACAAACATTAATATTCACAATAAACAAAAAAAATCTAGCTTTGTTTTCGACTGAGGCAGAGCTTTGTCATGTACCGAAAAGAAACATACTTAGTCAATGAATAGATAATAAATATATACACTGGTAATCAACATGATTAGGTACTTTGTAATTAATTGTAAACCATCATTTTTTAATTAAGAATTTGACGACGGCCTCGATAAAAATGGAAAGATACTGCAATAATAAACTTGAATTGTGAATAAATGTATAAAACCTACTTTTATATCAAAACATCAATAGTTGACAACTTAGCGATACTTCTAAAAAATCAAATTTAAAACAAGTTATAAGATTAAGATTTACATAACCATAACCAGCGTAATAATATTAAAACGGTCCACTTCAATTAACTCATAATAATATAATGTTCATTTAGCCTAGGGTATTATTATAATAGGCTAATATAATAATTAGCTATGGGGTTCTTGGAGGACTTTAAGCACAATTTCAACTGTTTAAATCGATTGTGTTTCGTGAAAGGTGAACGTTTTAATTAAAACATTATTTTTTCTCCGTGCGTAATATTTTTTTGTTTTAATCGTATGGCTATATATATTAGAACGCAATAATATATTTAATAACATACCCATATCCGTCATAATTGACTTTCATCTATTATTATAATTGAGTCCGTCCATCGCTGTACTTCCGTTACTACGGTAACCGATAGATACAAGTGTTTCCCTTCTATATAGGTACCTACTACCTTCCTATCAATGGAGCATGTGGAGTATGCTGTTTGTACCATATGCACAGAGGCGTATTTAAGATTTTAGTACACTTTTTTTTTCCTCTAAAAAAAAAAAATCGTCGGAGGCTGATCAATTTTTACACATCGGTAGCTTACCTAAAAAAAAAAGTCATCAGATAAAAAAAGCTTAGCCCTATAATATCTTTTTTTCTTAATAATATTTTTCTAGCACAACGCCCCCTTACAATTTGGCACTCGTGGGCGATTGCTCCCTTTCGCTCCCACCTAAATACACCCCTGTATACGCTATTGATATTATAATTTAACGATAGTTTTAGTCTACACTAGTTTTTACGTCGTCTATGGTAACTAACTACTGAAAACCTACTTATTTCAGACAAATACAAATTACATGTGGGGGCGTTAGAGTTTACACATGTGTTTTTTTCATACTTGCTATAAATCTGAAAATGATTAATCATATATTTTTAAAAAACAATTTTGGTTGTGTGGTAATATTATTATTTTGCCATGACGTACATATTGTACCTATGTGCAGAATTCGAGGAACTGACCATCATTTAGTCTTTTTTTTTATTAACATTTTTTTTGCCGAAAAAAAAAGAAAGTTTGTACTACCCATGTGGTCTAACTCTCATCAATTATGTACAATTTGATACGCAAGTATCATAAATATGTATCTAACAAAAAACTTTTTAAATATTTTTAACGATCAAATAAAAGTTAAGTTTTACAAAAATACAGCATTATTTAATTGAGTAAGAACTAAAAATTGAATTTCAAAAGTTTGCAAGGTACTAATGGTTGTTTTGAATTTTTGAACTACTTCAAGATTTGAATAGTTTTACTGCTAGATTATAATAAATTTTGGTTGCATCCAGTAGCGCATACAAAATTTTTTCTGGAAAATGTATGTGCCTGTGATAATAATATATAAACAGTAAAATGTTGTTTTAAAAATGTTTATGATAAAAGTAATTTTTAAGGGAAATTATATGACTTTTCAATTTTTATCCCTCTCTACCCAAATTATAGACGAATATTTGTTTATTTGTATACGGTTGCCATTGGTTACAGAAAATAAAATAATACCTACCTTTTACAATTTGATAATAGTTTAGATCTGCGTTTTACATTGGGTCAAAACTACCTAAATACCCAATTAGCCGTATCAAAGAGACGATTACGATTTGGTTCTCAATTTTCGAGTAGGTTCCCGGGTTGTCTACTGCAGTTAACATACGAATTGGTTCATGCAAGTTTTCATGATAAGAAAAATAAGTCGTATCATAGATTTAATATTTTAATTTTATTCATTCTATAACCGTATATTGAAATATTGTACAAAATATATGCTTATATCCTTTAAAAAAGAAAAAATGATCAAAAAAATGCTAAAATATGCTATAAAAATGAAATAATATTTCTCCTTTGAGATTTCAGCTACATGAATTAAATTATAAACTTGGAAAACATTATCTAATATTAACCAAAAAAGATGCATTTTGCATTGAAATCTGGACCCTAATTATAAGTAATTTTATTTGGAACCAATTCGAACAGTTGTATACTGGAATGTAATTTTTTCGGGAACCAATTCATAAACTTTTATTTGACCCGGGAACCAATTCTGTATTACCCTGTCAAAGATATACACGAGTACCTACTTACGAAGCTTAAATTTAATGGAGTTAAAGTCAGGGTAAATCCACCAATATTATTTTAGATTGCTGTAACAACGCTGGGCGTGATCAATAATAAATATATATATATAGGTAATAACAGAATAATTCAAAGAAGCTGCATGATCACTCAAATTTTTTCCTTTAATTAGGTATGAATTTATTCAAATTCTGATTTTTAAAATTTTGTACTACTTGAAAAATGATTTATTGCTATACAAGCTTTTGGTTTTTAAACAACTATCCTTTTTTTTTTTTTTTTATTGTTATTATTTAGTGATCAATTGTTTTGAACTACCTTATTAAAAAATTTGAACGAGTAACTAACCTCTATCAATAGTATTTTAGTCATTGAAATGTTTATTCTAAAGATAATAGTCTTTAAAAAAAAGTTTTCCAGTAATGTAAAATTGATTTAAGGGAATTGAAGCACACGTATTTTTCATACGTTTTAGACCAATAAGCGGTAGTAAATTTAAAATTACACATACTTCGGATTGTCCTATTTACATTTTTAATATATATATATATATATATGAATTCTTTGACAAAATATCTAGGCTTTATAAGAAGTCGATTTTCGATTTTTAATTTTAAAATACCTTAAAATTAAGATATATTTTTTTTTAATTCCATGAAATAATTGCATTACATTTGTATTTATTTTGAGCATATCTAATTTAAAATCAAAAAAGTGATTCCTAAAGAACATAGTCTTGAACATTATAAATTCAACCGTTTTTTCGAAATTTCAATCAAACTTCAGGAAGTATGTTTAATTTACTAACGCTTTTAGTAGTTTTTATAATTATTATGCTAACAAGAAAATATTTCGTTTTTCACGAATATTGACATGTGCGTGCGCGTGTGAGAGTTACTTTCTATATAATTATATTTTTCCATTGCTTAATACAACTCCAATCACGAAAGTTGTCTTTAAATTTCTAGTGTTTTGTGTTTATTTTTTTTTTATTAACTCACAAAATGGGTAAAGACTGGCGTTTTGGCCGAAAAACTAGGTGTAGGTTAAATGCACCTATGTAGAATTTATTACATTTAGACTATTTAAAAAAAAAAGAATATATTTACATAAATTTTTTTTAATAGATTAATTCAATATCTGTAGTGTTATAGGTAAGCTACTTTTTACTTTTCAATACATAAATGTTGAACCAATAAAAATAAAAATATTTTGTATTGTTGTTATTATAACAATAAAATACAATAAAACATAATAATGTTATCAAAAATTATTATTGTGTATTAATTAATGTATTATAATGCTACATTTATGTATTTATTCATATTTTAATTAAGTATAAAAAGCATGTGGTAGACCATACATGATGTAAAAAACCATGAGTGGTCGACCTAGACTGCATATGACATTTAGAAAAGTGTGGTGGACTGCACACAACAAAAATACCATATACACTATAATAAACATTAGAAGCATGAAATAATAATACCTATATTCAGAGGTGGATTTAACAATTTACCGCTCCTATAACAAAAAAAATGTGCCACCTTTGTTTAAAAAAATCACCTCTGTATAACAAAATGTCCTTACTTAATAACATTTTCTACATATTATGCAATTATTTTTTCATTCAACTTACTATAGTACAACAAACATTAAAAAATACGTCAAAATGTGATTTTTAATATTAAAATTATATCAATGTTAAAATAAATATTTTTATTAAAAAATAATGATTAACATACCTAAATTTAATTGGATTACACTGTGAATAAAAAATTGTAATAAACCAAATATTAAACAATTATAAATAACACAAAAATATATAACAATACTTTTTCATAATAGTATCATTAGTTTTGATCATCTGTATTGCTTATCAGTAAACAAAATCTATTAAACAGCACACAATAACATAACTTGTTATCCCTATCACCAATGTTAACTTCTTGTTATTGAGTTTAAGTTGTATAGAGTAACTGATAAATTATTTAGCCACTAATATTAAAACCAAAATGACAAAATAGAATACCAGAATGGTGTTATACTTAATTATGGCATGTTGTATAAAATACTATGCCATACAATTAAAAAATAAATAAATATTTCTAACATCATGCAATGACTTCAGGTTCCCAAGCAAACTTTTCTTTGTGCTTGATATTATTAATATCATCAACATCTTCCTTAGCGAGTTCAGTGTCAACATCAAAATTTGTTTTTATTCTTTCTGCAGTAACTGATTTTGGTATAATAGCTAAAAATATAAATTAATAAAAATTAGTTTAATAAATAATCATAACTATTATTAAAAACAATAAGAAGCCATTAATTAATAAAATTATACTGAATTTAAGTTTTAAGTTCTTTAGGTCCTATGTATAATATAATGAATTTGAAATTTTAGGTATAACTTAGAAATATGTACATAATACAGTAAAAAAATTATAATTGACAATATTTTATGTTACTAAAAGATGTTGAATCAGAACACCGAAAACAAAATCAATTAACCTATTTATTTCTAAAATAATCTTTTGATTATAATATACAAAAAAAAATTATTATTTAAACATTTGTTTGACATATTGAATGCATAATTTATTTTTAATTCTCTCATTTGATATGAAGCTCACCATAATTTCTTTGTATAGCCCATCTCAATAATACTTGTGCAGCACTTATGGAATGTTTTTTGGCAATACGATTTATTACTTCATCATTTAACAATGAATTTTTACCAGCAGATCCTCCCATAGAACAATATGCTTGTAAAACAATTTTGGCATCTCTGCACACTTTATGAAACTCAGATGATTGTTGAAAATATGGATGGAATTCAACCTATAAATAATTTTAAATATTAACAGTTTTTAAAATATTTAATTTATAATAAAAGAATATAAATGTATACATATCTTATAAATAATAATCAAGTAACAGAACTTAATGCATTTGTTTATTTATTGAGAAAACACACATTTAAAATTTAACTAAATATAAAACAATGTAATAATAGCTAAAAGATCTTAGTTTTATAAAAGTTGAATGAATATTTTCCCATACATAATTACTTTAACACAATACATGTAATTATAGAGTTTTATGTATTCTACTTCATACAATCAACATTTTTTAGTAAATAAATAAAAATCAAATGTAATAAGTAAAAAATAAATTATCAACTATTTAATTTTAAAATTTTACTTTGATATCATAATTTAAAAATTAATCACATTATTTAAACTGTATTATGTTTTATAAAATAGAAGTATCAATTAGTTAACACTTCATGGAAAAATTGTTCATACAAAGCTATAAAATTAACATAAATCAGTATAATAAATATTTTACTGTCTTACAAGTTTTATATACATTATCATTTAAAGGAACAAGCACAAGTACAAATAGTTTTTAGTACTAGTCATTAACTTTAATGCTGTTTGCAAATAGTTGCAAATTATATTTAATTTAAAAACTGACTCAAAATCCATCATCGCAGAATATTAAATGACCAAGATCGTGATGAGGAAACAAGGTAGTATACATAGGTAATTACCTGATTAACAGCAGGAACAATATTAGTTGGATCAGCAAGCATTTCTTTTATATGTTTTACGGTATAATTAGATACCCCAATATTCTTAAGTGAACCATTGCCATTGTCGTGTAACTTCATAAGAGTCTTCCAAGTTAAGGTACGAAGTTTAGAATTTTCAGGACTTTTTGCATCAATACGTCCAGCTCCTGGCCAATGAATTAAATACAAATCCAAGTAATTGGTACCTAGATTATCCAATGACCTTTGTACAGCAGCAGCTACTTGCTTCTCATCTCCATGGTCTTTAGGAGCTATAAAAATAATTAATTATAAGACTTAATGAACAACTTAAAATGTCATAGATAAATGATAAATATCTACAAATACACTTATATAATTTTTTATCTGTTAATGGTCTTGTCAATTTCAACAATAATTAGTTAATGTTTATACTTGTTTCAATAGAGCTATGAACATATATCAGTACATTATTATCTATTACATTTTAAGAATAAAATAATGTCTTTTTTAACAAAAAAAAAAAAGAAAAGAAGTTGACTGAGTTTCAATAATTAGGTTCAAATTTAAAATGTATTTAAGTGGTATATTTAGTGTAGAAATAATTAAAGGCTAATTGGCAGAACTAAACTAAAAGAAAGGGCTATTAAAACATTTTAATTTAAAAATTTAGTTAATGATATATATTATACCTATTGTACCTTTATACAGAATTTTGAAGTTTATTATTATTGATATTTGTATGAAGAAACAATTTGTATTGCAAAAAATATATTTCAAACTCCAATATTGATTAGTTTCTAGAAAAATTTGAATCTAGATTGTACTTGGGTGGAAAACTTCAAGAAAATTTCATAACAATCAAGAAAAAAAATTAAATATAAAAATTTAATTAAAAAACAATAGTTTTGTTATTTCATAGTAAATGGAAAAGGTAACTGTTTCACAAACATATTTTAAATTAGCATTTTATGAACATGACATAGTTTTCAAAATATGTATTTTGGTTCTTTTAGTACTATTATATCTAACATTTATTTCTATAAACTTAATAAGTTCAAATTTTTTCAAAGCAATGAAAATTTACAGATCCATACAATTTTTAATTTTAATAACTAAAACTGAAAACATAATACAAGATTATCTATAAATTAATCATACAAAATCCTAAAATTATTAAGAATTTGGTCACAAATTTTTTAATAGACAATGAAATAACAATTTATTTCTCTAATACATTTTTTTTTAATGTTAAAATGCAATAATTATTACTTGTAAGGACTTCATTTTAGACATTATACGTCAGCGGTCACAAACATACGGCCCCCTTCTATGTGGCCCGCAATAAAAATACATTTTGAACAAAAATATGAAAATAGTGCAGCTCAAAAATAAAAATTATCAAATATTCAAGCTATTTTTAAATTTTAATTATAATTTTTTTTTAAGTTAACGATCATTATATTTTTTCAATGACAATTTTGTAGTAATAAAAAGTAAATAAATGGATTTTGTATGTATTTTTGCCTTCATTTTGTCTTTAGTTTCTAGTGTATAAGTATAAAAGTGACACTTAAAATTTGGCCCGCGAATTTTTTTTGAAAAAATATATGGCTCGTAGGTAATTTGAGTTTGAGATCACTGTTATACGTCATTACTCATTGGACATAATATTTTCTATAAATAATATTTTCAAAATATTTAGACTTATTTTAAACAACCATTGATTATAGTATGCAGTATTGACATAATTTCATAACACTAATATACAACTATACTTATTATATGATGATGTGACAAAAATTAGTTTAATATACCATTTTACCAATGGAAAAATGAATTATTAATAGTTAATTAATAAATTATAAAATATCTTTAAAAATAGGTAGATGCACTAACTTTAATCAGAATTATTTTATATGTTGAATGACTTATAATTGAATTCAAATTTATCATATATATAAAATGATTTACTTAATGATGAGATAAACTTGATGAAAAACCTATCCTATACATCACAATGATTTCCTCAGTTTGATAAAAACCTTAAAACTTTTTTTGTTACTTTTAAGTTAAAGACATTTATGTTGTAAGTTGTATTGAACGTATAATGATAAACAATAACTATATTGGGTTTAATGTTTATCATGAAAATTAAAACGTACGAAAATAATATATATCCTTGCCTACACAAATTTTAACTAACAGATTGAATACTAAGTATATTATACAACTAAATACCTAATTTTGATGTAATAAACAAATCTTCACGCTTCAGATGATATTTTGGTAATAACACTTGAAGTGCTTCTTTGATATACTGCTCGTTGTTATATACTGCTGCTGTGTCTGAAAAATAATATTAAATAATAAAATACTAATAACAAAAAAATAAAAATATTTTTATCTATAGTTAAATGGAGAAAAGTGACAAAAAAAATAAATAAATAGAAATAAGTAATTCAGGCGATAAGAAACAAATCAGTAATAAGACAATGATCAAACATACAGATAATTATACAAATATTACTAAATACTACTACTTTATGATTATTTTATGATTAATATGAATTTAAATATTGATATTATCTTATAAAACTAAATTATTTGTTCTTCATTAATAACAACATTTTTTTTTAAATATTTAATACATTTATATTAGTTAATTATATATTTGTAAACTAAATGATCATAAAACTCTATTTTGTATCAATATTCAATAAATTCACCAATTAGACGATAACCAGCGCCAAGTGCTACATCCAAGACGCTTAAAATTGTTTTTCTATCAGAAATTGTGTATGTGCCAACTAAAAATCAAAAAAAGTTCATTACAATTACAATGGAGGAGATTCAAGACTAATGAATATTATTTGTTTATGACTTACATCCGATAATAGGTAGTTTGTTATTTCCTCCTCGTGTGTTCAATGGTAAAAATGTTTTAGAAATAGGAAGCATTATAATAAATTTGTTAAATTATATTTTATATTAAACGTGGACAATTGACGTAAGACGTATTTACCAAAAGCCCTAATGAGATAATAGGTTAGTCAGTTAGTGGCTACTTAAGAATTACACTATTTTAATTATATTATAATACATTTAATATAAATTACTATGAAAAAATACTAAATAGCTAATGGTTATTGGTTTTTATTGTTTTTAAGAACACTGAACAGTAAGAACAAACTTCATAATTTATTTCGTGAAGAATCCACGATTACAGACATAGATAATGTAATCTTATATTTTATATTATCTATGATTACAGATATATAAACGTGATACTAACTTTACTACCTACCTTGATGGATTGGTAAGGTGTTAACACTTTCGAGACAATAGCACTAATAGAAGTAATTCCACAAATCATTTGTTCCAATAACAACAATTATGAATTATTGTTCAAAAACAGTTGTTACCTAATAAAAAATAACATGGGAAATTTGGAACAAATGTTACTTGGAAAAACTGAAACGAATGTTTTCTTGGATTAAATGGTAATAAAGGCATTTAAACAATTGAACAAATACATTTTAAATTTTGAATTTTAACCTTAATGAAACAAATAACAAATATCTATTTAATATTTAATATCTACATCATATTGTGCTTTCTGGCTTACTTATTTGAAGTAAAAAATATTCCTAAGGAAGTATGTAACACATTTTTGATAAACAAGTCATCAATTTCCTAATTTTGTTATAATTGAAAAACATTTACACAATTCCTCACAAATTTTTTTATTTACTTACCAATAAAAAATGTCAAAAACACAGTTGCAGTATTATTTCAAAAATGTTTAAAGTTTAAAATTTTATGAAATTCATCAAATTTGCAAATTATACTGTAGATAAAAATTCATGAAATACTCAATATTCAAGCCTAAGATAATTTTTATTTAAAAATGTGCATTTAATATAGTTTTATAACTACTTACAAATTAACAATAATATTCCAATTCGAGTATGACTGTCATTTTTTCATATCATTTAAAATTTGTTACAAATCAAGTAATTTAAGCATCTATAAAGTTTCTTAAAAAATATTGAGCTATATACTGTCAGCTTTTCATTGGTTACAATGTCTTAATTTTTTTTCTCACTGACTTGTACAATACATAATATGTATAATACAGTATACACCACATATTTATTATACCATAAAGATGTATTATAATAATTTATAGACATGGGTGCCAATATGCTATTGGTAAATCATAAAATTGAGAAAACTTGTTGACTTCTTTTTATTATACATCGAATCTTAAAAATTAAAAGAACTGCTGTTTTTTTTTTTTTTTTTTTTTAATTGGTAATTTTTCAATATTTAAATTTTAAATTTAGTATGAGCATATAAGCATGTATGTATTTTAAACATGTGTAATGCTTTAAAATTGAAATATGAAAAACCTAAATGCAAAAACTTTATAGTTTAATAATAGTTATATACTGCTGCATTTTTAAAGTATTTAAGCTTAGTATAAGTTAACAATGTTAAACACCTGTAAGATGGATACAATAAATGCTGGTAAGCATACTAATTGAAAGTATTACAAGGCTATTTTTTTCAAAATATAAAATGAGCTATATAGGATATATTGTACCATACTATATCACATACAACTAATAAACATTTTTATAAGATTAATATTGGCATTAAAACTTGTTTTTAATTATTTTTAAGCATATTAGTAGAATTTTTTGAAGTACCGTAATCAGTGATTACTAATCACTATAAATATGTTGTACAATTTTATCATCATAATAATTTATACATGGAATACAATAATAATTAAATATTCTTAATTTCTGCATGAAAATTAAATATAATCAATTACATTTGTTTAGTTGTAAGGTTTGTTATATTATTGTAAATCAATTATTCATTTTTCTTTTAAAAATTTGACTTTAACTGAGTTTTTATTTTTAAATATAGTTAAATATTGTGCTAATAAATAAAGATTAAAATAGTTAAAGACTTTTGTGTAAAGTATTTATTTCAAAATAATTTGAATACACTTATTTTTTTAAATATATTTAAATTTAAATGATCCTTTAACACTTTTTAAAAACCTTAAAAGAGAAGTAGGTATAATGTTTACAATTAATGTAATTTAATAATATTAACGTCTTTGATTCCATGAACCAGCAGCTGGAGGTCCACCACGTCCCATAGGAGGTCCTCCACGACCCATCGGAGGTCCACCACGGCCACGACCTCGTCCAACTATAATATAATAATGATAATTAATATTAACCATACAAGTTACACTGTTAATTTTTAATTAAAAATAAGAAAATCGATAGATACCTGATGACCGTATCATTCCACTCTTTCCACGTCCTGCTGCTCCACCCATAGTCATTTTACTTTTAAACATAGGAGCATTCCGCAGCATGTCAGGTAGTATAATGAAACGAACTTTCGATCCTCTTACATACACGTTCTCCATCTGGGCAACACGTCCATCTCTATATGTAACTGTCACGTGAGATACCTGTTTGACATAAGAATTTTATTATACATTATAAGTGCATAATAAAAATTTTAAAAAGACAATATTTCATAATTTTTTTTTTTCCATACAATACCTGACAATTCATGTTGTCTTCAGCTTCAATAAGCTTACCACGATAAACTTCGCCATCAATTGTTTCGCAAGTGACGATATGTCCCTCAGCTTCGTGCAACACTTTAATAGGGACACCGATAGACATTACGTAGTTGCTATTTCGTCCGACGTAAAAAAATAAATGAGACTTACGGAAGATCAGTACTTATTTAATAGTAGTTCGTAGCGTTCGATCTATTCGTAGTTTAAAATTTCAAATGTTTAATGTTTAATCCTTATACCTTGTCGGCTGTCGTTTTATCACGTTAAGCAATTAAAATGGTAGCGTAAATAAACATTATGTTTTCCAAAGACAATAAACAAATGAAGTGGCCCGGTAGTACGTAACAGTGTTGCCAGGTAATCAAATTTTCATAAGTTTCGATCTTAGATCATATACTATGGATGGAACCGGGGCGTATTGTATCCATACGAAAAGTTGTTGCCGATATCAGCGACGAGTCTCTTGATGAGGTGCTCAATCTACGCATGTGCGAAGTTACTTGTCGCATATTTACCAGCTATCAGCTGTTATTCAGTTAAACAACTAAAACAACCAATGTTTTGAATTTTGATATCAAAGTAACAAACTAACAAGTAACAACGTAAAAGTGTAAAACGTTTTGTTTATAAATTGTCTTTTAAATTTTAATTTTCATTATACATTATACAAATACAATTAATTAAAATACTTAAAATAATTATTTTTAAAATTTAATATAACAACATTAGGTAACAAATGTTTTTTCCGGTGAATAGCGAGTACCTAGTACCTACTACGATTTAACATGGTCTATTTTACATCGTGGGGAGTAGGTACTTATAATATAAAGCAGTAGGTTACAGGCACGGCGCCAAGGGTGGCAAGGTAGGGCTCTAGCCCCCCTCCCCCAAAAAAAAAAAAAAACAGTTCAGCCCCTTTGCCAGCCCCCCTACTAAATAATATATACGATATAATAAAGTCATAAAACATTTTTAAAAGATCTACATCAGAGAATTTATAAAATATACTTTTTACAAATTAGTAATATTATGTAAATACTTTCGTATTTTCGAAGATATTATATGTTTTAAGTTTTTTCTGTTATAAAAACCGATTTTATAATATTAATATTTTATACACAAAAACCGAAGAATATTATTAACTTAATTTAATGTTTGTTGTATACAAGTAAAAATATTTTTAGTTTACTTATTATTTTTAATATGTTTAATTAATACACTGATATTGTGTAAAAAGTTACTTAATAATTAATAAAAAGAAAGGATTTCTTTAAGTATCTACATTTTAATATATACCCATGAACTATTTTAATCTCCAAAATTCAACAAAAAATACAAAGTAGATTCTTTAATACATAATATACTATGCGAATACCAATTTAAAAATGTATTGAACTAAAAACTTGAAATTTACTACCTAGTTAAATAATATTATTAGGTAGGTAATCTCACATTTTTATTTAAAAAAAATATTATTACTACTGGTATTGATGCAAATTTATACATTTTTGTTAACTATTTTAACGTTTTAAAATTTTCAATAACTTACTGTTTGGTACATAAACAGATATTGTGTAAAATATCAATATTTAGTTTATTTAATATATTTGTCACTACTAAATAAATTGAATTTAGTATAGATTATAATAATTTAATTATTGAAGTTTGAAAAATAATATCTTCAGTCTTTTTATGGTGGATTAACCTACTAGTATTATCTAATAAAGGAAAAATCTACTACAATTTTAATAAAATATGTTTTGAAATTTGTAAAATAAGAAAAAAATCTTAGCACATGTAAAAAAAATATTTGCCGTGCTCTGCCCCCCCCTGAAAAAAAATTCTAGTACCGTGCTTGAGTAGGTATAAAAGTTAAATTTAATAAAATAATAGGTATAGTCATAAATCATAATAATAGTAATATTGTAATAAAACTGTAAGATTAGTGCAAAAGATCTGATTGTAGGTGTATATTTTGCATTTTTTGACATTAAACCTCTATTTATGGCATCTTTAATTGGTTCTGAAGTATTATTCTATAAAAATATACACAAGTTGTAAATTGTTTAAATTGTTTACTGTATATATCAACACCAAGTATAATTGAACAGTGAACACAATTTATTTATTTTTATTAAATTTATCAAAACAACAAAAAATGCTAATACACCTTATACAAATATATACATATATTATAACACTTAAACAAATCATTTAATTAATTATAATTGTATAATGACTATTGTTATTCATTCACTACATGTCCAATATATATAATATGTTAAGTTGTCTAATAGAAAGTTAAATATATTATATAAGGATAAACAATATTCTAATTACTTTTATTAATTGATATATAAAACCCATGTTATTCATGATCCTTTATGTATCTTTAAACCATGATTTATAAAACACATTATAAGAAATAAGAATTAAGAATATTCAATTCAAGACATTGGTTGTTTAACTGAATAACAACTGATAGCTGGTAAATATGCGACAAGTAACTTCTCGCATGCGTAGATTGAGCACCTCATCAAGAGACTCGTCGCTGATATCGGCAACAACTTTTCGTATGGAATATGGATACAATACGCCGAGGCTCCATCCATAGTATATGATCTAAGATAAATACTATAGTATGTACCTATATAGGTTATAGCCATATAGTAGAGATGAGTCGAACTGTTCGAAGTTCGAAAATTCGAATAGAACATAAGGTGTTTGGTTTGAGTTCGAAAATCAAAATAGTTCAAACTTAATAATTATGTACGAACACCAACAAATTCTAATTTCTAACTCATAAAACGTTTCAAACCAAAAATATTTTCTGTGTTACGTATTTTTATGTTTATTTTTAATTTGTCTATTGTCTATATAGCATATTATATTTTTGCATTAAAAAGTAAAATTAGAACATTTAGAATCACGATAACGATACTGTCCGGCAATCAATTATTTCTTGTGCTATTGAATTACTTATAGAATTGGATAATTATTTTAGTTTTGTACTATTTGTACTATTTATATTTATAATTTATAGTAATATCAAAGTTCGTAATAAGCTGAACAAAGTTAAAAGCTAATATTAATATATTTTATTATTTTCAAAACAATCGGTACTGTAACGTGGTTGGAAAACAACCAATTAAATATAAGATATCTTATATCTAGGGAGAGTCGTAGGACCCTATGGATATATAGTTATCATCATGGGCAAGATAGGGCACTTGCCCCCCCCCCTGGAAAAAAATATTACCACATATTACCTTATTACCGAGGCAAATTATTTATTGAAATCACTTTTAAGATATGAAATAAATATAAAAATATACTCATTGTTATCGTATATTAACATCATAGATAGGTCGTATTCTGTAGTCCGTATAACCTATACGTAAAATTATTTATCGCAGATAATTTGTGGTAAATCTATAAAGATCACAATATAGGTACTACAAATATTTTAACCTAACGCAAACAAGGATATTTTCATTCAGGATGTCATTAATATGTTTGGAATAAAACAAAGAAATTTACTGTTCTTGTTTACTGATACCGAATAATATACTTAATTATATTATTTAATTTCTATTTTTTTATATACTTATTAAAATTATTATTTATTTATTTATTTATTTGTATGGCAATTATTATTAATACACTATATATATATATATACAAACTATGCATGTATAGTGTATACATTTATATGTGAAAAATAACATTAAATCTTTATTATCTTACATTCGAAATTTTTTTTATTTTGACTCCCCCTAAAATATTACTCACGGGCGCCAATGGTTATCGTAGTTATTGGTAGAGATAAATCATAGGATCGAAAATATATTTAAATAACCACAAACTCAATGACAGTCGCGATCAATTTATAATTTATAAAATACTTATAATATAATACTCACATAAAACATACGTGTGATCTTAATATCTTATAAAAATGGATGGCTGTGTCGTAGTCCTACGGAGTTCGTGTGTTGATCACGGTGCACAACGAACTGTAGTCTTTACATTATATGTTTTGGCCAATAGGCCTTACACTTTACAGTTAAATTATGTATGAGTGTGTGATTGTATTGGTCAGCATTAGTTACATCTCACGTTACATAATTGTATAGTACCTAACTATTTTAGCACTGTAAAAATGAGATGAGTATAATAACTATAATTATAATATTTTAATACTATAATTATAATACTTTAATACTATAATTATAATATTTTAATACTATAATTCTAAAATCTAAACTAAAAAGTTAAAATCGATATAACTTCAATATTAAATTTTCGGTTAGAGTTCGACATCACACTAAATTGATCGGTTCGAAGTACAGTTAGAAAGTTCGGTTCAACATACGATTAAAAAATTCGGTTTGAGACCATATTTTTGAATTCGACCCTCATCTAGTATATATCACCAGGAAATCGCTTAAAACGTGGATTTTTTTTTTTTACAGAAACGGTTATTCGAGGTCTTTTGTTGTAAACTTTTCAAAAATCTAATTAATAATTACATCAAAAGATAGTACAACATTGCATTAAACATTAAAGCATATTTCTAATGACTCTTTAAACACTCTATACACTTTAAAAAACCGTAATATTACATTTTATTTAAAAACATTACCAATAAGCGGAAAGGTTAAAAAATTGTCCATTTTTACTTTTTTTTATGTTCATAATTTTCTGGCATCACATCTCAGGAACATGGTGTATAATATATAGATGATATAGACATATCTTAGAGCGCTCATCATAACTTTTAATGTTCTTTAATATAACGAAGCATTATATACTATATTTGAACACGAGATATTATCCTACTTAAATTAATAACTACGAAGTACGAGTCAAGAAAATAATATAAACTATTAAAATACTCGTTACAATAATTTTTATAATAACTGATGACACTGATGAAAGTATCAGACTTTTAATTTACTTATTGTTTGTATATAAACATATTATGTTATTATTTTTTTTTTTTATATATGATCTGCAGAGTAATTAAAACTAGCAGTCGTAAGGTGTGACTTAACAGTACCTATACCGGCTATACTAAACTGGTTAAATTTAAAAAAAAAAAAAAAAACAAAAATGTGTTTGGTAAACTATAAAAGTTCTTTTTGTATAAAAACGAACAATAATAAGGTCAAAATTAGAAATATATATTTCCCCAAATAAAAATAAACTGATAATCATGAATAACTGGAATTACTGATTGAAAAAAAATATTAGTAGGTATAGAAAGCTTGTTGCGTATTGTATATTTTGTTAGTTTTGATTGTTCAAACGGTTATAGTAAAATATAGCATAGACCCTTTTAAACCTTAGAATATAAAACTATTGAAAAAATATGTATATTTATGTTTATACATAATTAAATATCAATGATAATGATTAATTTGCTAAGTACCAAATAGGTACCTATTTAAACTGAGTAAATTTTTATAGGCTTAACATAATAAATTGTATTGCATTGTATAATGTACAATATATATTTATCTTAACGCTTCAATTATTTCACAACTCTGGATGATTGTTTGCTTCTCCCCAGGCTTCAAAATTTAAATCAAATTCCTCATCACATTTCATTTTAATGGATGGAAATAAGCTAAAAAAAATTGTTTAATATGAAAAGATAATAAAATTATATAGGTAATATATTATGTATTATTTTATATTTACTTGTGATCGACTATTTTGAATATGTCTTTTTGTACTTTGTCTACGTTCGAAGTAGCGCATATAACATGGCCAAAAGTAATTTTCTTTATCATTTTCAGTTGATCTAAAAAGCAATGAACATTTTTCATTAATTTCTATTGAATAACATTAAGATATTTTTTTTTATTAATTATTTACCTTCTGTAAAGCTACCGGGCTGTCCTTTTACATCATAGAAAAATCGATCGCCAGCTTTGAATCGATAAAAATTTTCAGCAAATAAACACTGTGTTGTTGGACCTACAATCGCACCATCACTGGGTTTTTCTAATAAAAGACCTACTATTAAGTCGATATCATTAACTGAATAATAATGTTTTTTCAATTTGCTAATGTCCTAAAACAAATTATAATTTTACTCTCGACTAGTTAATATAGTTTTAAAATAATTAGGCATAGTAACAAAACCAAGTATTTTAATTACTAGTTACTAATTAATATTAATTTATAATAATATTAATAGGAATATAATTAAAACATTAATATTCGAAAATACAATTGTATATTAATGTATAATATAGTATTTTCATTTTATTATTAATCAATAATTTACTATACCTTTATATGTATAAGATCCGCCAAATCTTCAAAATTTTTAGCCAATGGATACCCGCAAAGATGTCTTAATTGATTGTATGGTTGAAGGCCCACATCCTGGCCCCTTCCAATATCGAGTGCAAGTAGATCACGACCTTTATATAAAGGTTCATTTGGTAGAGGAAATAAATAATTAGATATCTATAATGAACAAAAAAAAAAAAAAAAAACAAACACATAAAAAATTGACTTATAACGACCTAACCAATGAATAATATCTTTAAGTAATATAAATAATAATATAATATGTTCAATTTACATCAAAATTATATGAAGGTTGAAACACTCGACCTGGAGTCTCTATAAAACCTTTTAATAATTTATCAAAATTATCATTTATAGGTATTAGGTCTGATTTTGTCATCCAATCCGTAAGTCTTATTGATTTTTCTATTTCATAGTCTTTATTCATTAAACTTAAACGTTAAAATTCAAAATTAGTTTCTTGTGCAATCCATTTAAAATGTATATGATAAAAATGAAGCATTTTTTATATTACGCACTTGACTGCTATTGGTATAATTGCGTGGAGAGCTCGACTAGCAGCACTTGAGAATTCATTGGATGTAGATGGATTTATGGTAGGATCATAGATATTTGCTTCGTTTATTCCATATAGTTCTTGAAAATCATTTCCTAAAAGGGTTTTTTTTAAATTATTAATACATTTTAATGAACAATAGACGCAAACATTTTTTTTTATCTTGTATTCCAATCACTAATATATACAATTCTAAATGATTACCAATAATAATTGGTAAGAAATCTTCATACGCGATACGTTGAATAGTTGCGATGACAATTCTTCGTGACTCTTGATAAATAATTTCATCAGACCAAGATGGATTTAAAGTCGAAAGCTTAAAAGCAATGTAATTATGATATCTTAAAAATAAATTCTGCATTGTAGTTATTCCTAAATTTTGATTCCCGTTAGCTGGATCCCCTGTAAACAACGCATCCACCAATGTATTATTGATGGTTGAAATAACATAAAATTAGACATTTGTGTGATGTAAAAACTATATTTCTAAATGACTGAAATAATTCATTAATTATTTGTAGAAGGTGATTGTCTTAAATTTTATATATTTCTTAGACTTAGATATACTGTATAATTATAGATAAATATTTTACTTCATCTTTTGAGTATTATGTTTATTGCAGAACTTGCATTTGAAAGAAAAAAATTATGATACGTTATTTACAATTAAAACGTTATACCAATTTTGAATTCATCGTTATTTAGAATTATTTAAGCGTCATTCAATTTTTACGTTTATCGTTATTTATAACTATTAAATAATTAGAAATTAGTTATTTCTTTTAATGATATACTTTATATTATAACGTTTTGTTTTGTTTGATGATATATCATATATTTTGATAATCGTTATGTTTTATTCTGTGTTATTTAATTATTTATGTTTATTGTTTTTTTGTTTTAATTACGTTAACAAAGTTCAATCGTTTTTTGTCAAATATAACGTTATAATCATAACGTTTTATAACGTTTGCAAGCCTTGGTTTATTTTCAAAAATAAATAATATATATATATATATATATATATATATATATATATATATTGAATTAAATTAATGAAAAACATCTTAAAACTATAATCACCTAGTTTTATTTTTTAATCTAAATTAATTAAGTATCACAATATTTATTCAAATTAAAATTTTCTAAAGATAGTGTAAATATAGATAGTGATAAGTTAATGTACTTTTTTTATTAATCTTATAAAAGTTTAGAATAAAATAATAATGAACCATGCTATACCTACTCATAAAATATTTATTTTAAAAATGTATCTGCATTAATGTTTGTTTTCATAATAATAACCTGTTTTGAATTGAAGATGGATATTTTTTTGACGACTTGATGCCTTGTATTGATTTCTCATCATCGGGCAGAATATTTGACCATTGTCGGCGATAGAAAATTTAAGTCTTCCACCCTCCATAGCTCTAAGCTCTCGTGCGTTATTTTCATTTGAACCGTACACTTCATTCGCGTCGATAAAATGAGAAACATCATTGATCTAGAATGTTTAATTCTATTGTTATTTTTCGATAAAATGTATATAAACCTGGCATACAAATGTTGTAGGGTATAACGGACAACTGTAATTTCTTGATGTAAGTGATCGGAACATAGGCGTACAAGTTTTATTGTGCACACCATAAACAGGATCGTCGGGTAAATTGTAAATCACGAATTGACATTGATTATAATATTTTATTTTATTTTCAGCCACACAACAATCTATTGTATCACCTAAGTTATATGCATTTAAGAAAAAATAATTAATATTTAATAGGATTATAATTTATAAATTAAAAAAAAAAAACCAAGATAGTTGTAAAATGTGGACTTACCATTTTCATCTGATATTAGATCATTGGGCAAACTCGATATGTCATGGGCTAATAATTGTCCAAATGGTAATAAAAGTACATTATTTTCATCAACTCTAAATATTTCACGGTTCAAAAATATGTCAATATCGAGCACCCTTGGCCAGGGTAATGGGCTTCCATTTGTCTGAACACGTAGTTTGTAATAACCTAAAAAATGATAAATATTTATTTGATAGTAATTAAAATGGTTGAAAACAATCAAACACCTAACTAGGTAACAATAAACTCGTGGAATTTGAAGTAATATTATTTTAATAAAAATAATTATTAATTTTAATTAGAAACATATTAATTGTTTAAATGTCTAACCATCACTAAAATTAGCATTAATTAAACGATAAAATGGCGATCCTGCTGCTCCTCTCGTAGGTATTTCTAAATTGTTACATGATCCATTTATGCTTCTGTACTTAGCGGTTGGATCACATTTCATTTTAGGAGCACATTGTTTTATATAATCATCATTTGTGGTTGCAATACTCGTGATACGAAATGAACTTTTTTTCTGTAATAGAATATAATTTAGATTTTAAATTAATATTGATGCAGTTTTTGGATTATAATTTATATTAGAAATATATTAGGTATATTATTTAATATACGATCATAAGCGTGTTTACGAATGTTGCTGGGATCTGGGTATGCTATTATAGTAGCATCTGAATCTTTCTTTTAGATTATTATTTATAAAAGTAAGTACATCATTTTGTAGATATACTGGTTCAAAATCCAAAAGAATTTGAATTAATTTTTTTTTAAATATGATGCAACTAACTTTAAAATTAACTGTGAAAGTAAATGTAAATCTTCAGACAAAATAATTTAATTTGTTATAAACTGTTTCATTAATCACTCCATTGAAAACAGCTATCCAAAATTGTCGATATGATAACTTTTTTTGATGTGTAAACATCTATGCTATCGATTTGTAGTACGACCTTCTTGGGAAATCGAGCGTCAGGCGTAAGTCATGTAGATATGACTGCTTGAGTGTGTGTGTGTGTGTGTGTGAGGCTATAGCGCACGGTATTCGCGCAGGTTACCCGACATACATAATACATAATATAATATAAAATAATAATATAATATAATATAATATATAATATATTATAATATATTATATAATATTATATATATTGAGATACGCTGGTTTCTATAGAAATTATATTATTTGTTTATCGGAGTTACGACTAATGCCTATCAATTAACACCGGTTTTATGGAAGAAAACACACTTAAATATTATGATTATGATACCAATCGATGCGCATTTCTTTTTCCATCTAATGACATGAAAAAATGAAATTTGAATTTTTTGTTGTTACGCCGTTTACTAAATAGCCTGGCGATATATAATTATATATAATAATAATAAAAAAAAATATATAAATAAAAATAAAAAAGTTAAATATAAATTTTAAAGAGAACGCGATCTTGTATGATTATTGTTACCTTATTATACAAATTCCCACTCAAACCATGACATTATATTCCCCAATCAAAGTCGTACTGCAGCTAAGATGTTTACACATCATTCGTGAGTAAAAAGGCACTCACATAGGTTTTTTTTAACCATTTATATGAAAAAACAGTTAAGTTGTGTAATTAAAAAATAATAAATATTCTAGAAATCTGAATAAGGAAAGTACCGTGTCTGCTGGAAACTAAAAATAGCACATCTCAAACATTTCATGAAACTATAAAACAGGAACTCAAAGTTCACTGTTTTAATAGGAATGGACTAAATTATAGATTTAATCAAGGAACCTTAGGTATTATTTTGGGGAATTATTGATTCCGCCGAAACTACCTGTTTAGGAAAAAGGTTTGTATCGATTCCGTCGGCAATTAATTCCGCCGGCTACTGTTTAAAATATCTACATATCGATTCCGCCAGCTACTGTTTATAATATTTACATATCAATTCCGCCGGCTACTGTTTATAATATCCACACATCGATTCTGCTGGACACTGTTTATGCCCCCCTTGTATATGTATTTTTAAATATATAGCAGCGGTTTACGTCACCATAAAAATAAAAAAATGAATTGCACCTTCTATGAATAAATAAATAAAAATTTTATAATATTTAATTATCCAAATATTTTTTTTGTTGTGATAAAATAAATCAACAATAAATATTATTAAATTTCTATTTAAAGTATTACAAAATTTTTAATTTTTATGAAAAAAAAAACAATAATTATTAATTAATATTAATATTTATGTGAATTTATTAAAAAATATTAAAATGTATGGTCTAAATTGTATAAAATGATAATAATAATTGTATAAATATATAATTCAAAATTAAAATGTGTATCCTAATTAATACGTGTATGTGAATATATTAATGATAATAATAATTGTTTAAATCAAATTTAAAATGTATAATCTAATTAATATTATTTAATAATATTAATTAATATGTCTTACACATGTACGACATAACAAATTTTCGTTCACCGATAAACAGTAGCCGGCGGAATTAATATCCGGCGGAATCAATACCTAAATATTATAGACAGTAGTCGGCGGAATTAATAGCCGGCGGAATCAATATATAGATATTATAAACAGTAGCCGGCGGAATCGATATACGCCCTATTTTTAATATTAATAAACTGCAAGACATTACCGACCGATAGATTATTTAGTTCAAATAGTAGTAAAATATTTATTACTGAAAATTAATGATTGAGTTGATAAATAAGATGTTTTATCTAAAGATAATAGATATAAATTACCCAATCACTGTTTTATATTGCATAATAATATTATATTATATGGTATTAAAGAATACATATTTAATTAAATACAGCTAAACAAATACTTTAGGTTCATATTGATTAATTAAAAATAATATTTTTTTTAAAAATAAAAAAATGCTTTTATTATTTCATAAGACTTATTTTTGGGACATCGCTGGGTTCCGATTTTATGCCATCGTTAATAAAAATGTTTAAGATAAAAACAGCACCCAGTAACAATATTCCGAACAAAATTATATATAAAAGCCACTTAAACAATTTTGGTTTTCGTTTAGAAAATGAATTACTTTTTTGGAACAATGGTCTAAAACGAGAAAAAAATATCATAATTAATAGATGACAGTTTAATTTAATTATATTATTAATATTATGAGCCATTCGCGATGTGTACAATAATCAATAATCACTGTACAAATACCGAAGTGTACAATTGTTGTACAAATCATAACATTTAAAAACATATTCTAAAAATTACAATATAATAACTGTTATGTTTTAAAAGTATTTTCTTAATTAATATTACATATTATTACTTATTTTTGTGATTTGTTCAATGATTGTAATATTTAATATTAAAAAAATACTTTTAAAACATAACAGTTATTATATTGTAATTTTTAGAATATGTTATTAAATTTTGTGATTTATACAACAATTGTACATTTCGGAATTTGTACAGTGATTATTGTACACATCACGAATTATATAACGCAACTTGTACAATCTAATTACTTTGTACAGCAACATAGTACACTTCGTAATGTGTACAAAAATCACTGTACAAATTGCGAAATGTACAATTTCGGATTTTGTATGTAACATATACATATATGCTATAATTATATTATGATCGATAGTATCTTATAATCATAAAACTTACTCTGTTTCACCATCTGTACGTACATAAGTCATATTATAAAGGCATACACTATAATGTTTGGAAAATTATTTTTGTAAATGGTTCCAGAAAATAAAACAAGAAGATTGGTTATACTAGTCAAGTAAAAAAAAAAAATAAATAAATAAAAGTATTCTCAATAGAAATAATATATTAAAATCTGGAATGGAATCACTGTTTCTTAAACCCTCATAGGGTAACAGTAACGTTAGTACTAACTAAACCGTTGAATATTTTGAAATAAAAAATTTAAATCATCATGTTTATCTATAATTTTAAAATATAGTTCCATTTAAATTACTTGTGGCTTATGATAATAAAAAAAAAAAATAATTATTACTTTAAGAAAATGATAAACTATCATTAAAAGTTATTAGGTTTATTAAAGCTTAACTGAGTGATTTATTATATGATAACAAAAAAAAATATTACTAATTGGTAGATTTATCATAAAAATATTAAAATCTATCATGTAAGAAATAATACAAACCATTTTATTATTTTAGATAAATGTAGATAAGTCAATATTTATCTCCCATAAACTTTGACCTAAAATCAATTAAAAATTCTTGTATTTTATATAATCATATATTTTTGAACAAAATATTAATTATTTGTGGCTCATAAGTTTTAACATACGTTTTTAGCTTCATAAATATTGTTTAAAAGTTAGATTCCAGTTAATAAATTTTGAGCAGGATAAGTACGGGTATCTATAAATAATTGTTTATTTAAAACATATTATCATATTATTATATGTGAACCTGACACGTATAACGGACTATGGAAGAACGTAATTATGTAATATTGCTTGCTTAAATGCTTTTAAACATTTTACGCAGGAATAACAACAGATTTTATCTAATTCAGTCAAATTATGTAATTCATTGGGAACGGTTTATTTAAAAATGGTTAATATTTTTAAAAAGGTCGACGACTCTAAACAATTTGAAACTGAGTGAGTATTGTTTGTATTCTTTATTATAATTTATTTATTACATAAATATATTATTTATTTTATAAAATGTATTGAATAGAAAACATTCAGCTAGTACCAATCATTCGTATAGTACACCGAATTTCTTAAAAATGCTTCGACTTCATTACGTAACTATTTATATATTCAATATTTCAAAAAACACATATTGTTGAAAAAAAATTTTTAAAAGCGTTGTTTGATATAAATTTATTGTAATTCTTGCACTATTTTCTTGCTGAATAATTGTTAACAGTAAATGAGAAATAATAATAATAACAATAAAATAATAGCATAATCATTGTAAAACTAATGAACCGATCGGTTGATTATAATAATTAATTATGATTCTGACACTTACATATAATTTTACAAAATTTGTTTTATTTTATTGTAAACTTATAGCTATACGTTTTATATTTACGTCCTCAAATCTAGTGATTACTAATTAGTAATAATATTTTGTTAGGTAAGTTGAAGAAATATTTCCTTCACTTCTATCATTTTTTTCTTTTCAAAGACAATACAAAATCCTTATATTTTCTACATTTATTTGATTTTTTTTTTTTAAATTTTAATGTATCACTTATAAAATACATTATTTACAGGTATTAAGTTGTCATTTAGTTTTAAAATATGGTTACATGTAATTAATTTTTCTTCTACATAAATTCATCATAATGATCTGTAAATATTTACTAATAATTTTTCAATATTGATAAAAATAAATTACTGATGACTAGGATTCGAAAATTATTGTATTACAATTGCATGTTTTTTTGTTTTTTGAACATTTAATTTGTTTCTAAGTAAGATTAAAATTGATGTCACAACTCTTTGAAAAAAAATATTGTTAGTTTATAGTGGATATTTTTCATTTTTCCATTTTTTAGAGCATATTTTATGAATAATGATGTTTAAAATACAGTTTGAAAATTTTGCAATAAAAAAAAAATTGTTTATAACATATATTAATTTTAAAGGTTTTCACAAGGTGTTATTGTATCATGTTATTAAATACCTAGTTTCGGTTTTTATTAATAAATATTGAGTACAAACTATAAAATACTAAAATATTTTTAACATAATATTTGTATTTATAAAAATAATTGCTAGTAGAAAAAAATAAGTGCATATTTTCAAAGCATATTAATTATTATTATACTATTATAAGTGCATAAGTGCATGCATATTAAGTAACACTTTTTAAGTGCACTAAGTTACAAGCCCTATTGATGACATTGACATTCATCAGTAAGGGATTGATGAGGAAGGTGGGGGGAGCTAAGCCCACAAAATATTTTCACAGTACTCACAAATATATATTGAATAATAGGCTAAGGAAAAGGTTTTCTTCGTTGAAATAAAAAAATGTTTAAGAATGGGTTGCACAACTGTTTCTCAAATTTGGCTATTCTTAACATCGAAATAGACATGTTGTCAATTAATTGAAGAAATTGGAATTTTATCACTTGAAAGACAAGTCGTATGCATTAAAATGTTTAAAAAAAGAAAAATACTGTGACCCGATTAATATGAGATGTGATCTAGAGCAACGATTCTCAACCTTTTAACTTCCGAGTATCACCTTCACATCTAGAAAATTTTCACGTACCATTTAATTTAGAAAACTCTATTTTTTTCTAAATAAAAAAAATTTTTAAAAAATTTTATAGAATATTAAAATTTATCAAACAAAAGTAAAATTAAGCATGTACAATTGTTAAAAAATAAATCGACCAAGCATTACAATTTTATAGATATTAACGTTTATCTAAATTTCTATCTTTAACGTGAGTAAAACCGACTATTTGGTTTAGTAATAATCAAATAAACGAAATAATATTTTATATATATAATAATATTTTATTTTATGATAAATATTTATTTTTCATTCAAGTACCACCTTTGAGCTTTCTGCGTACCACTAGTGGTACGCGCACCATAGGTCGAGAAACGCTGGTCTAGAGAACTATTTTCGGTTTGTGTACCACGTTGAGTACTTGTTTAAAATGTTATCAACTACATTGTATGTATTCTAGTTAATTCGTTTTTATTGTATAATATATCATAGCATTGGTGTACAGATATTAAAGAAGAAAAAAACGAGGAAATAATAGTATGATAAATGAATAAATAATTATAACAATAAAAATAATACGAGTAACTAATAGGCATGTATGATAAAATAACGATTTAGCGTCAAAACTCAGTATTTTAATTGGATAGTATAACACGTATCCAACTTAGCGTTTAGATATCGCCTTTATGTAATAATTCTATAAATATATTCTCTCACTTTGTATTTTGATATTACAAATACGCGCTTTTCAAAATCTGATTAGTTCTGATTAATTCTATACTTACCTCATATCTATAATATAATTCGAATACTTGAATTCAAAGCCGAAGTTGTAATTAAAAATAATTAATGAATTATTATCAGATATTTAGGTATTATCTAATATTTATTCATTATTAAATATTATTTATTATACTATTATACAGAACTTAATGATTACTGTAAAAGTATACGGTACTATTGATTTTAAAATAAATCAAATAAAGTTATAAAAATATCTATGTTTACATCATGGTTAATGTTTAGAATTAATATTTTTATGGTTTAGTATGAACATTTTTAAAATCATTTAATTTTGTTATTGATTACTCTTCTATGAGTAGATTATATATTAAATAAATAAATCTTAAGACTTCAATTAGCCACTTATATTCAATATTAATTATAAGTTTCCAAGCTACCATAAAGAGTTCAAGAAATAAAAAATAAATATTTTATAAATTTAGTTATAACTGTAATAACTAATATGTACTTTATTGTTTCTTAATAATATAATTAACTATATAATAGAATTATAAAATCAAAATATTTATGTTTTAGTCCATTATTAAAATCCAAGGAAGAAAAACAACCGTATTGGAAAAAACCATGGTTTACCCTTTTTATAGTAATATTAGTAATTGCTATTACTACAGCTGTAATAGTATACATATTTTATCATAAAGACAATTCATCAAATACAATTAATTTTTACGAATCGGAGGCAAATGCCGTTAAATTTAAAGCAACAACGTCAACACGTAATCCTATATATTTTGAAGTCAAATCTGCACATCCAACCTCTAGGGTGTCGAGCATAGCAACAACTAATGAAGACTACTTCAAGCAATGTGCACCAGTCGTTACCTGTAACCCAGACGATAAATACCGAACATTCAATGGGTCGTGCAATAATTTGCAGCATCCTAGCTGGGGTGCAGCTTTAACACCGTTTTACAGGCTGATGAACGCCGAATTTGATGATGGTAATAAACAATTAGAATAATAAGAATTATACAAAAAACACATTTAGAACCTATAACATATAATATAAATATTAATTTGTTTTTAAAAATGTCATTTAGCATTCATTAATTGAAATAAATAAAAACCACAGTAAAACAAAAATGTATTACTGTGTTAAAAGTTAAAACACACATACGCACACTGTTAATTTACTTTTTATTTTAATAAATTATTTTAAAATACTAAATGGAAAATTTAACATTGATGAATTACTATAATGAATTGTATCATTGTTGATAATGTGTATCACTCTAATTTTTAATTCCAAAGCAACAAATAATATCATTTCAACGCTCATATTTTTACGTTTAATAAATGTGGTTCATCTTTATAATTATCAATATTCATAGTATCTATACAATTTCTACACTTTATACACGCTTTATTAAGTATTAATAACTGCAGTAGTTAAACAATGTGTGTGTGTGAAATAAATATTGACAAAGTATTAAAGTTAAATGTATTGAATTTATTCAGGTAATTATACGTTTAGAGTTCAGTTGGACGGAAAACCATTACCTAGTGCTAGGCAAGTAGGTTTGAAATTATTTTATATAAGAGACAACCGTAACTTTGACCATGACAATAATGAGTTATTAGTTCCATGGGGACAGTTTTTGACACACGATATATCGTTTTATCCTGATGATATTCGAAATACTTCTACTCCAGGTAATAATTAATTTAATAAAATAAATTGTTATAAAATTATTTATATGAATGTATACATTTCTTTGAATTACTGTGTACACGAAAACTTATTGTTTACAAATATTTATAATTGCATTTTGTGAGGAAAATATGTAAATGTAAAAATACAGTAACCATGTTAAAACTAATTGGAAAACAAGTTGATTGTAGAAACGTATATCATAAATCCGGATGTACATATATTTTCATCGATACAAAGATTATTGATGTGTAAACATCTATGCTATCGGTTTGTAGTACGACCTTCTTGGGGAATCGAGCGTCAGGCGTAAGTCATGTAGATGTGACTGCTTGAGCGTGTGAGGCTATTGCGTACGGTATTCGCGCAGGCTATCCAACATATATAATATAATATAAAATAATAATATAATATAATATAATATATTATTAATAATAATAATATAATATAATATATTATTATATTATTATATTATATTCTATTATATTGTATTATATTATATTATATTATTATGTTATTATATTATATTATATATATTGAGATACACCGGTTTCATGGAAGAAAACACACTTAAATATTATGATTATGATACCAATCGATGCGCATTTTATTTTCTATCTAATGACATGAAAAAATGAAATTTGAATTTTTTGGAGTTACGCCGTTTGCTAAATAGGCTGATTATATATAATATATCATAATTAATAATATATAACAAATAATTATAATATATATAACTATATAAATTATATATAATAATAAAAAAGTTAAATATAAATTTTAAAGAGAACGCGATCTTGTATGATTATTGTTACCTTATTATACGAATTCCCACTCAAACCATGACATTATATTCCCCAATCAAAGTCGTACTGCAGCTAAGATATTTACACATCATTCGTGAGTACCTACAAAGGCACTGACATAGGTTTTTTTTATACATTTTGTATAATATACATAAAAAAAATCTGACTGTTATACATTATATATAAACATAAACAAAAAGTATGACAGTAATTACACATCTTTTAATATATCTAATTTTGTATAATTGTAATTTTAGCTAATTTAGATCACTGTTTTGAAAAAGACAAGACCAAAATTCCAATTGAATGTGAAACTGCTATATTTATAACAGCAGACGACCCAGTATATAGCCAATATAATGTATCGCTGTTTAAATTTGTCCGATCTATGCCTTCAGTGAATTTTAGTTGCCCATTAACACCCAGAACTATTGTAAGTATTAAAATAGTGGTGCATTCAAATCACATAAAATATTTAACGAAAAAGAAAAAAAAATTATTAAATCAATAATACTTTCATAGTTTACGTATTTTTTCTTATTATAATTTCGTTTAATATTATTTATTTATTTTTTTTTTTTTTTTTACATTATGTGATAATAATTTATGAAATGATTTTAATGCAATAATGTAAACATTTAAAATTTTTTTAGCTCAATAGAAATACACAATATATTGATGGGTCTCACGTATACGGCTCAGACAAAGAAATAGCCGATGGTCTTCGAACATTTGAAAATGGTAAACTCAAGTCAAGGATATTAAAAAATGAGGAATATTGTCCACAGAATCCTGATTCTGAATTTAAAGATGGCCCGTTAGGAAAATCTAATATTCAATTCGCTGCAGGTAATTTTAATTTGAAAATAATATAATTTAGTATAAATCATTTTAACTTATTACATCGTTTTTTTTCAGGCGATAAAAACGTTAATCAAAATTTAGCTATTGCATTGTTTCAAAATTTATTTTTAAGATATCACAATCATTTGGCTGATGAAATACAGACGTTAAATCCGTCATGGTCTGACGAAAGAATTTACCAAGAAACTCGCAGAATTGTCGGGGCAATTATACAAGTTATAACATATGAACATTTCTTGCCAATTATTCTAGGTAAAATAAAATGTTGTTAATTAATTGAAAAAAAAAGTTAATTAAACACCAAGTAACAATAAAGATATCAAATTTTGAAAAATTATACAAAACTGTACATAATATCCACTTACTATAACTGAAAATAATCAAAATAATACAAATTATAGATTAAGATACAATAATATTAAAAGATTCAAGTTATTTAAATATCTTTTAATATTTAGGAGACGAATACATGAAAGAGTATGGATTAACCGGACAGACGATTTACGATCCTTCAATTAATTCGGCTTTATCACAAGAGATGACAAGTGGTGCATTCCGAGCTGTTCACAACATTATTCCCGCTAAATTCAAGTATAATTTTTAAGTAATAAAATTAAATAGATTTTCTACTAATTTATCGTATTTATCAGCTTTATAAGTGCAAACTATTCAATCGTCGACGAAGTAGAGCCTTCAAGAGTGTTATTGAAGCCAGACTTGCTTATAGGAAATTTCGATAACATGCTACGAGGGTTCTTGGAAACCCCTGGCCGAGCTGTACAACCATCTTATAATAATTTGGTAACCTTTCAATATTACTTATGTTATTATTACTTTTGTATTACTACATTTATTTATTTATTAATAAATTTTAGATTACAAATGTCGTGTTTAAAATACCAAATTTAGATACATACTCAGGATTTGATTTAATGTCTTACGATATTCAAAGAGGCAGAGATAATGGTCTTCCACCATATAACAAAATGAGATATTTGTGTGGATTAAATAAAGCTTATACATTCAATGACTTATCCGATTTAATTTCTTTAGAGGTAAAATTATGACACACATTTTTTAATAGATTTATAACACAATAAACATACTTGAAATAAATATATTTAATATTTAGTTAATTTTATTTCATAATTTTTGTTTAATAATTCAAGTTTTTACAATTTCATTAACATGATATAACATTTTTTTTTTTTTTATATATATAAATTATTTTTTATCAGGATATTGAAACTTTAAAATCGCTATACTCTACTGTGCATGACATAGACTATCTTGTTGGTGCTCTTTTGGAAAAACCTAGAAACGGTTCAATGGTTGGTCCATCAACTGCATGTGTAATTGGAGACAGTTTTTACAGGTTTAAAGCTGGTGATCGTTTCTTTTATGATATTCTAGGACAACCAGGAAGTTTCACCACGGGTACAAAAAATTAAACATGCACCTTTTAACAACAGCCAATCGTGTTATAATTCATTTTTTTTTTTTTTTGTATTTATAGCACAAATTAAAGTATTGAAAAAAATCACTCTTAGTCACGTTATGTGTACATCATCAAACTTGAGCCAAATACAAAAGGAAACATTTAGATTTGTTGACCATAAGTAAAATTATTATTTATTTTTTTTTTAAACAACTACATATTTTATGTTGTAATGGTATTTATATGTTTTCTAATATTATTAGGTGGATGTCAAGTATCAAGTATAACTGTAAATCATATAAGCTGGATTTATCACCATGGAAGGATTTTTCATCATAATTGCATCATAACATAACTACTTTTTTTTATATAATTTTCCTTTTTTCTTTGAATATCAATGACTAAACAATAATTAATATTTTAGTACAAAAATATTAAATTATAATTTATTATCTTCGTCCAAAATATATATATATAGTTCAACCTCATCACACTTTTACGACATATTTATAAATAAACGTACACGTGAAATTCAATCATAATACTACAGTTAATACAATTTTTATAGTGAAAATTAGAATAATTAGAAATAGATTCTAAATAGTGTGAAGAATATATCAAGAGCGATGTTATTTTTCATAAATTATTAAGTTTGAGGAGATTATTAGTTATTGTTCTGAGCATCTATTTTATGATAGGGGATAACATCAATAATAAAATTCCTGTATAATATACTATGTAATCCAAACTTAATAAAACATGTTTATGCATTTTGTAATTTAGCATTGCCTTTAAATGAATGTATTCGAAGATCGAATACACGGCGTCATGAATATGCAATATAGTTACATTTTATTATGGTTTTTATAATAATAATAATATACTGTTAATCATTAACAAAACTTGTAACTCATAATAGTATATTAACTATTCATAGTTAATATCAATATTACATGAAACTCTTTAAATATAAAATTAAAAAAAAAAATAAATTAATACCTATTATACTTCTGCTGTGTGGAATTTGTATGTACATAAAGTATATAATTAGGTAAGTATTTGCACAATAATGAAAATCCCGTGTACAATATGTATAATACGTTCAAATCTATGATAATTTTATAATAAATTTAAAATTTTAAGATGCATTTACTTTTGATACTAGTAATAGTATTTATGTTTTAAAAGTATTGAATTAATTTTTATATTCCTTATATAAGGCTTTATTAAACTTGAGTTTTAGTAAAGTATATCATATCTAAAGACGTAGTCCATTAACCCGCTATCAGTTAGATTTTTTTTTTGTTATAGTCCTAGACATTTGGTTAAATGTGTGGTGACTGGTGGATAAAGATATGAGGTTTCCTAATTTTGATCACGTTAATACGCAAAATGATTCATATAGATGTATTTTTATATAGTTTGTTATAACCTCTTATAATAAGATCCTATATTGATTAAATCATCGTCTATTTATCTACCCATCTAAGATTGTCCTCATCAATGCTGTAAAGGTATTTTATATATTATATAAGCATCTTAAATTCAATTTTGACAATTACGTCAAAATCTCAAAAATTTGCAAATTCTTCTATAGTTAAAACTACATTAAATTTCTAGTTATTACTAAGTTAAGTCTTAACAACGTAGTACAAAGATATTAATAAATATTTAATACTAGATTTAAAAATATAGTGGATAATACAATTTTATTTTATAGACATTTAAAGTTGTAATTTGTGTTAAATTAGATAAACAAAAAATAACAGTTTTAATTATTTTGTTGTAATTTGAAAATATTTTTAATGGGAGTTTGAAATTGTTATGTATACCAATATATTTTATAATATACACAATGCAATTTACAAAATGTTTTAAATAATTATATGCTATTGCATATTTATACCATAAACCTATTCACGCTTTCTATGGTAAGTTTATATTGACTGATTCGTGACATAAATAATGTAATAAATCCAATATTTTTGATAAAAATTAATTTAACCTACTATATTACTAACTTTAAAATGAATTAGCAATAATTAAAGCAACGTAAATATCTCATAAAATTTACTATGTTATATAATACGCTGTCACTTATTTCTGGTCTTCACTCGGAATCATTTTTTGTATACAATGATTTATCATTGAATTCAAATTTATCACATACATTGCAGAGACTTAATGACGAGGCACACTCAATATATCTTGTTATCGTAAAATGATTACCTAATTCCCCTATTTTTTTAAACAATTAAATTATGAATTATATAATATAATTAGTATTAATGGTATAAATGTGGAGTCTACAGAACTCACTTTAGTATGAACGATTCTAGTCATTCCAAAAAATTTACTCTAACCAATATGCAATGGCCTTTGAAGTTTTGTAGAATTTTAAAATTATTGAAAATATTTAATATACTACGTTTGATGCTATTATTTAGATTAAAATGTGTAAAAATTTAATCATTATCTCATTATAATCTCAATACCATATTATTGTTATTATTTTTTAAGTTTTTAAACTTAACTAGATAATTAATTCTCTAACGAATTTAATAACTTTATTAAATTAATTGTCTATACTTCATGATAAATATTTAGCTTTTTTTTTATTAATTCAAAGAATAATAGGTACGTGTTTACAAAAAAAACTTAAGCTGTGACTAAAATTACAAGATATTAAAAATTTTTTATTTAATTTTTCTGTTAGCAATGATTTTATACAATAGTAAACAAGAATTTTATGCCTGATTCAATAATTTAGTAGAAACAAACTTAAAATTTTCTAAACCATTAAATATGCAAAAAAATAAATAGTAGGACAAATTAATATAAAATAATAAGTTTCACAATTACCAATAAGTAGTGTGTATCTATGAAAATTAAAAAAATTAATTCGTTTTTAATTGTATCAAGTTCATATTACTTATCATATAAATTTAAAGCATAGAATTAAATAAATTACGTGCTCAATAACAATTGTAAGTTAAAAAACCCAGGGTAGATATTAAAGTTAACTTATCTACACCAGGCCCTGATTTAATAAAATTAGGGCCAAGGTTAGTGGGAGCGAAATGCGTCACCAACGACGGGTTAATCATTAAATACTAGGCTGGAATAAATCTATAAATAGTTATTGTTATTACTTATTATGTATCAAATATTTCCTATGTTCAAACAATTTTCTATTATTATTAATTTAATATGTTGTATTGAGGTGTAGAATGATTTAACTAGTATAAGGTCTATTGTAATTATAATTTATTAAAAATAATTAATTTTAACACAGAAAATTTTCTACAATTCACGGAGATCGGGGGCCCCCCAGAATTGGGGGTCAAGTACAAGTGTGCTCCATCTGCACTTGCGTAAATCAGGGCCTGATCTACACTAATATAAATTAATTGGCCATACTTAATAAATATTTTAATTACTAGGTAGTAATGGCGTACAACACAAAAAAAAAGTATTAAAGATTACTACTTTAAAAAAATATTAGAACACAAGTTCTAATAATATATCTTGACAGGGACTTTAAACATGAGAGACACTTTATTTGTGTTAATATATATTATAATGTCAGGAGGCCACTTACTACCTTCAGATTAATCTCATACTAAGAAAAAAAGAGGCGAATACTCATAAACATTAAATTTAATTAAATTTATAATTTTTATTACCTATAGTATGCTAAAAATTTAACTATAATTAAAATACAAATTAACTTAAAGATAATAAATTTACAATTTTATATAAAAAAAAAATTCATAAACCTATGCAATAGAAAATTAAATAAGTATATATTTACAAGGTTAAAAGAGTTACGAGTAAGTAGTATTTTATTTGAAAATCAATAAAAACAAAATAAATACTAGTGCTTAAATGAATAAGTATTTTTTAATACCTACATAAAAATGTAAGCAGTGTTCAAAATAAATAATTTCTGAATATTGTATATTTTGTACATAATTATTTGAAAATGATAAATTATATAAACAATAAAAGTATTAATTTATTAAATAATGTGTTTATATCAAGTACCTGTAAGGCTGTAAACCATAGAACTTTATCGAGTGTGTTTAAAAATAAAATATCTAATTTAAAAATAAGTTCATAGGTTATAGCAGATACAAGGTACTCATTATCAGAATGTAATTAGTAATATTTTCTCTAGTTATAAAAAAATAATAACAAGTGAATTTATAGAATATTGTGTTACAACACCTGCAAATTAAAAAAAGTAAAACTGATTGCGGTTCGTTTGAGAACACCCAATAAGCTTTAATGCCTAGCCTTATTGCATAATACATTTTAGTTTTACTTGCTCTATTTATTAAATATACGTTAAAATCATCATTAAATAAATCGTTATTCATTATTAAATTATATAACTATGATTATTTAAACTTTGATTTCTAAATAGGTTATAAATGTATATTTAGTAAATACGTAAAATAATTATTCAATTTATAAGCATTAAATAGATTAATCTAAACCGTTCAATTAGTTGTGGTAACTCAATATTTTAACATAGTACAACATCAAAATGTTTTATACACTTTTGACTTGCTAGTTTAATTTTATTTGATTATTTTTAAAATGTTCAGTAGTTTTGGATAACAACCGCTTGTAAACTTAAAAGCATAAATCCCTATGAAATGGATATTTCGTCTCAACATGAATCTCAGTAATTATGATAATAAAATTATTTTAATTTATTTTATAACGCATACATAATATCAATTATTATGTGTACACATAAATACATTTTATCAACATTTAACTAAATTGAAATTTTATTAAATAATAATTATTATCATTTTAGACCATTGTTAAATCAAAAAACTTCAAATCTAAAGAAGAACCATAAATGGTTTAAATGGTTTGTCAGTGGGATTTTTTTTGTATTATTATTCCTTGGAGTTTTTTATCTTTTATATTTCAACATTAAGTACGAAAACCCATCAGCTTCTAGTTACATTACTAAGGTAAATAGATTAAAATTACGTAAAATTCATAATTCGTTCAAGGAAAATGTTGTGTTAAACAATTTGTGTAATAAACTCGAATAAAACTAAATATTTAAATGTACATTATATTAATAAATCTATGACCATAAATCTTTCTTATAAAGATAACATTTGATAACTACACATTTATAAATAAAATATTATTTTTTAATAGTAGAGCCTATAGAATTTATAAAAATGAATACAATTGTATCACGAAAAATACGTGTCTGTCGTGTTGTGTGTCTTTTAATGTAATCTAGTTTTTAGAGTTGGACTGAGTTGAATTTTTAGAAACGACACGATAGACAACGTAACTGTAAACTAAGCTTTATTTAGGAATATTCTTCAACCAATTTTATTTCTGTGGTAAGCGGTAGTTAAATAGATTAATTTTAAAATAGTACACTAACGTATGTTAATATTTTTAAAATTTTAAAAATTGTTTATTAAAACTTAAGTAGATACATTAGTATAATATACTATATTTAATATAAAGTAGTATAAATAAAACAAAATTAAACAAAAACTTTAAAACTATTCATAGTATTAACTGTTAAGGTTCTCAATCAATGTTATAATTTTCAAAAGAAACATTAAATAATACAAATACGTATTAAATAATTTAATAAAACTAAATACTTTTATATTACCTATTATATAATATACCTAAAATAAAATAATTTTCATGAAAATTATACCAATAAATTAATAATTGCAAAATTAATTTAGATGTTTATTTATTTTTAATTAAATAAATATTTACATTAATAATTAATTAAATATTTATTCATTGTAAAAAATATAAATATTAAAAAAGGGTTTCATTTTTAATATGTACATAAGAACATTAAAAATGGTGCATATTACATACGTGAATTAAGCAAAGTTCCAGAGAAAGGAGCGGGGTATATCTAAAAATAACATACCTCGTAATCCATCGCCTCATATTTTGATTATGAGGCGGAGTTAGTCGATCAACATTGTGTAGGATAATCTCGTGCAACTCCAATCCACTTATCGTTTTAAATTAAATTTTTATATTCCTAAAAAATACTCTGCATTAGGGTTTGAAATAAAAAAGGTATATGATTTTTAAAAAAGTAAGACTTAAAAATCATTATGATAATAAATAGTACATTTTTTTAAATGACTTGAAATTACCCATAAAAAAATAATATCAAAATCGTTCATAGTGTTTGAAATAATAAATAACTTGCTTTTAAAAATCATTCAAGTATTCTAAATATATCAGTAAAAATTAAATATTTAAAAAAAATTATCTAAAAGGTTGAATTTACATACTTATTTTTAATTTAATTTACCTTTGATTCCAAAATTATTACTTAGTTCATATATTATTATAGACAAGAAATTCACTACATATTTCAAGTATTGCAACCACAAATGATGATTATATAAAGCAATGTGCTCCTAAAGTGAAATGTGATCCAACCGCTAAGTACCGAAACATAAATGGATCATGTAACAATTTAGAAATACCTACGAGAGGAGCAGCAGAAACGCCATTTTATCGTTTGCTTAACGCTAATTTCAGTGATGGTAATACATTAATTAACTGTTATAGAAATATTAAGTAAATTGCAAGTGGCAGGTATAGGTATTTTTACTACGTATCTACCATAATATTGTATAAATAAAATAATATTTATATAAATATATGTATATAACGATTAAATTAACATTATTCTTAATTTTTATATCCTATTGGTATGCATTAAATATTTTTTATAATTTCCATTGAAAAAGTAGTCATAATGAAAAAAAAATGTATCCAGTATATTTCAAATTAATAATATGATTACATAATTTTTTATTAAACTGAACACATTTTAATTATTTTAATAGAATTAACATAGTACTTTATAATTTTAAAATTATAATATTGATAAGTAATTATTGGTTAGGTTTAAAATCATAATTTTATTTCTAAGGTTTTTATAAATTTCGATTACAAACAAATGGGAGTGTATTACCAAGTACAAGAGTAATCAACATTCAAATGTTTCTGAATCGAGAAATATACCATAATGATGAAAATAATGTGCTTTTATTGCCATTTGGACAATTATTAGCTCACGACATATCAGGCCTGTTCCTTGATATTCCAAAAAAAGAAAACGGTACGTATTCAATTTTCAAATACAAATAACAAGAATCATCGAATTTCACAATCTGTTTAAAATTGTATTTTAAAAACTTTATTTACACTGATTTTTGTATACAGATGAAATAATAGATGGTTGTGTCGACGAAAATGCAAGAAAAACATTTACTCAGTGTGAAATGGTAGTCGAAAACCCACCCGATGACCCTGTTTATAGTAAGCATAACATATCTTGCATGGGGTTATTCCGTTCGTTAACGTCGAGGAATTACAGCTGTCCATTATTCCCAACAACGTTTGTAAGTAAAGTATTAACGTTTTCAATGTACATCGGTAACTACCACACTAGAGATTTCAGATGAACAACGATACTCATTTTATCGACGCATCTGAAGTGTATGGGTCGGATGAAAGTTATTCACGGCATCTAAGAATGATGGAAGGCGGACGACTTAATTTCTCGACTAGCGAAAATGGGCAAATGTTCTGTCCATACTTATTCAGTACACATTTGGCTCTTACCGTACATGAAAAAAACGATACCGTATATGATACAGGTTAATATTAATTATTATACGAAAATAAATTAAATTAAAAATTATTTATTCCATTCATCGGCTTATAATACAAAATATATTTTATTATAATATGTTTACTTTTTATTAGGGTATACTAAAATTCTTTTAATTTGTATTTATTATTATTTTTTTTATTGTTTAAAAGTCTCAATAATATGCTATGAAACATGGAATTCAATTGATTAAAACTATGAAATTTGTAAAATATTAGGAAATTTTTCCAGCACACTAGAGCCACCACACCTACCTATAATAACCTATAAAGTTTTTAGAAAATATACAACTTTCAGACAAATTTTTATAAATAGGTTTATAATGAAAAGTTGATAAGTCGAAGAAATAACCAAATCCACATTATAATAAGTATAATAAACACCGTGTATCTATTTTGTATACTGAATGATTTTTTTTATTAAATAATACTCATTATTTCAAAATTTATTGTCATGTTTGAAAATATTTATTTTACTTTATTTTCAGTCAAAATAAAACAAAATCTTCAAAAAAAATTTATATTTTTATTGTTATAATTTTTAATTTTTTAATTTTTTTGAATGATAACATATAATTTTAATTTTATATACAGTAAACAGAACATTTTTCTGAGTATTTTGATACATAAAAGTCGAAATTCAAAATAGTAGTTTATGAATCATAAATATTTAAAATTTAGATGAATGGAGTAGTAGACTAATATTCTGCTAGGTACTCTATAGCACTCTACACTGCTAAACTTTAAATACCATAACTCAAAAATTACTCTTCTAAATTTCGATTTTTATGTAATAAAACATTCCAAAAAATACTCGACTTTCGAAATATAAAATTTAAAATGTGTATTGTAATTAAATAAAAATAAAAACTTAAACAATTATAACGAAAAAAACATTAAAATTATATATTTAATATTGACTAGAAGTTATGTAAAAAAAATATTTTCAAAACTTTAAAAGATTTTGAAATAATGAGTATTGTTCAATGAAAGAATTACTCTGTATATTAATATTTTTATTTATTTATATTTATACATACACTTAAAAACATTATTTAGATATGGTGTTAAGACAACATTTTTCAAATAATTGTTTGTTATTAATTATTATTATAAATACGCATAGTAAAAATAATATATTATAATACTTAAGTTGTAATCATGAATTACTTATATTAATTTGTAAACATTATTGTAATATTTTCTTTTAAGCATCCATCTATTTAATTATTATTTATTTACGAAGATATAGAGTATAAATACTTATAAAAAATAGAATGTCATTTTTTATTAAGTTACAAAAACATTTATCTAATAATATTTTAAATATACAACTAATTATTAGTCTATAAAATGCTAAATTAATCACAACGATAACAATTTACAGTAATATAGAAAAATAAATCATAATTTTATTGAGGGTTACCAATATTTTAAAATTTTTCAAAATAATTAGATAAGTGAAAAGTATAGTATCCTCTGAGTTAGGATATCGACTGTGGGTGAATTGAGGATTGACGTTTTGTTTACGATATCAAATATCTATGGATTCTAACCTGATAATCTTTTGATCGTAGGTGAATTACGGCGCGAGTAACTATTGCTGATTAGCAATAATATAATAATAAAATTATGTTAAAAAAAATTTAAATAACGACAAATTCATAAACTTACAAACTAGAATTCGATAATAAATGAAGTCTTAAGTTTTTACCAAATAAATAATAAAAAAAATTAAAATGACGAAAACTTTATTATTTTTTTAATTAGGACTCATACAATAAATACATTTTTAGTAAACAATTCATCCAACATCTTTATGGTGTCTGCTTAGTAATATTAATAGCTAAATTCCGGTTCACTACATATACTTAATATTTTATGAATTGGGCGCAGAGCATATTTTAATATAAAAAGTAAGTGGCATGAGTGACACCTAATGTAAATTAGTGCCACCTTATGGTTAATGAACGTGCCTCGTACTCTATTTTACAAGTAAAAAAACAAAAAATACCCGAGGTAAGTATTTAAGCTATTCCTTATGATTTATATTGATAGTGCCACCAAGTAAAAAAATTCTTAAAATATACTCTGATTGGGCGGTAATTCACCAACACCGAGATTATTAATATTATCACTTGTTAATTATTATACTCATATTTTGAATGATAAAATGTAAAAACTCCATACAATACCTTCAAAGTTATTGAATAATATTCGTTTTACTATATAATCTTCATATTAGATGACCAAAAATAACATAACAATGTATACTATATGTATACTATATGTATACTAATATAATACATTAGTTTAATTATTTAAATATTTTTCTTTGTTATCTATGTGTGAAAATTATATTTCTCCACTGCCTTTCGAATAGGGTTAACACTTATATTTTTAACGTTTGTTAAATATATTATTAAATACTACAGCTAGATTTTATTTACAGGTGATCCGGATAATGGAAATCAAAATTTAGGAATAACAGCGATGCAAACATTATTCTTAAGGTATCATAATTATATCGCTTTTAAACTTTCGGCTTTAAATCCTTATTGGTCAGATGAAATTCTTTATCAAGAATCACGCAGAATAGTTATTGCAACTATTCAACGCATCACATACAAAGATTTCTTACCTATAATTATCGGTATATATTATAATCTATACACAATAGAAATTTAATAACGTTCAACTATTTTGTTAAGTTTTTTTTATTTTAAACAGGAGAAGATTTTCAAGAAATATATGGATTAAATGAAGAGAATATTTATAACCCTTCTATTAATCCATCTACATCTCAGGAATTTTCAAGCGCTGCTATCCGAATTCTTCATTCACTTATACCCGTTCAATTCAAGTATGTAATAAATATATAAGTATTACTCCATTTTATGTACATTACCAAAAACAATTATAGATACAAGGTCATTTTTTTATACCTAAACACTAATTTTGTAGAAAAGTATTGAAACTTTTGAAAATATTTTTTTAGATAATTTGTAGTTACATCATAACTGATTCAATGCAAAAAAAAACTATTTTAAATTAGAGCACACATATTTTTAATTTTTCATTCTAAAACTGAATTATATTTTAAAAATAGCAATGTATAAGAATGGAACTAAAAATAAAATAAAATAATTAGTTACCTATGACTTAATTTATAATAGCTTAAAATTTAAATGTCAGGAGTAGTAAATCAACAATTACGTAGTTAATTTTTCCTATATTCTGCTCATATAAAGTTAAACTAATTACTCGTTTGGAATCACAAAAACATATTCTTCTTCAAAAAAAACTTAAAAATTATATTATATTTATCATTTTTGTTTTGTAATGACTCAAAACATCCAAAAAATGAATACATTTTTAAAATATAAGTGATTATTTTTAAAAGAATCACACTTTCTAGTAATTCAAGTTGTAAAAATATTAAACTAATATTTAATTGTTGGTAACAGTTTTATGAATAAAGATTACAAAACAGAGTTTTCAGTTAATATTACGGATTGGATGAGACAATCAAACTTAATACCAATAAAAAATAATTTTGATAAATTACTCAAAGGATTTTTGGAGACACCTGGGCGAATAATTCAGCCTTCGTACAATTATTTTGTAACTATGCTATTTCACATGTGCTTTTATAAAATATTAATATATAATTTTAATTTTAATTTTAATTTTTAGATATCCAACTATATGCTCGCTAAATTTAAAGAGCCTCCATATACAGGACGTGATTTACTAGCCATTGATATCGTTAGGGGTCGTGATGTGGGGTTACAGCCATACAATTATGTCAGACATTTTTGTGGACTGCCGTTGGCGAATGATTTTGAAGACTTAGTAGATCTAATACATATAAAGGTATAGTAAATTTTCAGATATAATTAAAAATATATATATACGATTTATTATAACTCTAATTTATTTTAGGATATAATGAAACTAAAAGAGCTTTATAACTCAGTGAATGACATCGACTTAATGGTAGGTATTTTATTGGAAAAACACAGTCTTGGTGCAATTGTGGGTCCTACTGCGCAATGCATAATTGCCGATGGTTTCTATCGTTATAAAGCTGGTGATCGATTTTTCTACGATGTACAGGGACAACCCGGAAGTTTTAATAAAAGTAAGTCGATTGAATACACAGAGCACAATGAAAATAGATATTGCCTCATACGTATACTGTTCTTGAATTTTCATATAACGAAAAAATACTTCGATTAAAGATAACGTACAGTCAGCCTGTTTAATTATTATGAACAAAATTTGTTTAATGTGACTTTAAACACATATCGCTCTTTTTTACTACATTTTTGGATATTTTTCATTAAGTTTATTCCACAATAAATTAACAAATATGAAGCTTTAATTGAAAACAACTCCCAATCTACTTAGATAATTATTAAACACAAGATTATCGCTATATGCTGTGATAAAAATATTTTTACAATTATGTTTAAAAATGATACTTTTTTAATGTAAAAAAAAAAAAGTAGTCGATACTTATATACATTAATATTTGTAATCGTAACAGCTACTGACCGAATATTAATGTTTTTTTTTCGCTGAAAAATTAACCTGCAAATCGGTATTATATAATAAACAACAAATATTAGAACATATTATCAATTCATTATTTATACTATGAATTCCCCTGGTTATTACTTCATAACATTTTGTAACCTATCAATAATTATCATCAGATCTGTTTAAAATAAAATTGTGACCTTTAGAGCGTAGTAAACAACAATTATTATAGTAGTAACTGTATAAATGCCCGTAAACTGTTGCTACCAACGGACAGAAACTAAACATGTTATTAAAAATAATTACAATTCGTAGAAATTTAGAGTTAACTATGGAAATAACTAATTATCTTAATATCAACAACCGTAACAATCTATACTTCTATACTTAATATATAAAGCAGTAAGCGCATTTTTTTGTGTAACGTAAACTCGATAACTATCGGTTCAATTTTGATCGGATTTTTTTTTATGTGTTCCTTTAGTTCCTTATGATCATGGGAATGTTTTAGGCATAAATTTAATCCAACAAAGTTCGTAAATATTTATTAATAATTAAAATAAATGTGCGAATTGTTTACCTACATGCAGTGCAATGGCCCGGTGGTTTCCAGCAACCTGTAATCTACCCTTTTTGACCATAAAAGTGTTTGATGGACAAAAAGGGCAGATTGCAGGTAGTTGGAAACGAGCGTAAATCGATTCCGCCAATTTTATATCAATTCCACCGATTATTGACTCTGCCGGCTACTGTTTATCGGTGAAAGAAAATTTGCTATGTCGTACACGTGTAAGACGGAAACAACATATGCAGATTGCAGGTACGACATCCTCTTAATAAAATGTATAAAATTATAATAGTTTTATAATAATTCAAAACTAAAATATATAGTCTAATTCAGACATGCCCAACCTTTTTCAACTGGCGGGCCACATTCAAAATGTATATTTGTACTGCGGGCCGTATATGCTTCATGGGTTTTTTTTTGTTAATTTCGATAAAATATAAACTAGTCACAGGTATATTTATTGTACATTTTATCGGATATAATATTATCTTTGTTCACTTATCGAATTTATGACTCAAATCATATGTGTTTAAAGTTCTCAATATTTCCACGCTATAGTTGTTAGTTTGTTTACGTCATTAAAAATTATTTTAAATTCTTAAAAACTTAATAAAATACATTTTTTTTTAAATAATAATTTTTTTTTTACACCTATACAAATTTCTAATTTTTATAAAATGATTATGGGCCGGTTGAAACACCTTCGCGGGCCGAATTTGGCCCGCGGGCCGCGGGTTGGGCATACCTGGTCTAATTCAATGGTTTTCAACCTTTTTTGTGTGACGACACTAATGTAAATTTATAAAAATGGTGACACACTCAGACCCCGACTGGGAGGATACCGGCCTAGTAACTCAGGTAAACTAAAAAAGTTTGAAAACCGCTGCTATATATTTTAAAATACATATAAAAGGGGGGAGGGATAAACAATGTCCGGAATAATCGATGTGTGGATATTTTAAACAGTAATCGACGAAATCAATACAAACCTTTTTCATAAACAGATAGTTTCCGAGGAATCAATAATATCCTTATTTTGCGTGTATATATCAGTTTTTAAAGAGTTAGCATTTATAAACCTTCGATTGTACACTGCGTCCGAAATACAGATAAACCCAAAATCATACATGTAAACTACCTACTCTCGAATTTTTATCAACTGTAAAAAGATGACATGTAAATTGCGCCCGGGTAAAATTTTAAAAACCAATAGCTATATTTTTGTAAAATTATCTTTGATGTATACTTAATTTGTTACAGCCATAAATATGAATAATTTAAATTTAAAAAAAAAAATGAAATTTAAAAAGTAAAATAATTACAAGTATTACAAAAAATATCATATTGATGATACATATTCAATGATTGGATTTTGACCAATATTAAATTTCAATTAATGAATTAAATTTTGTAACTTTTCTCCGTTTTTTATTTTTTATTTTAGAATTTTGGTATTTAAAGGATTCATTTATACTATTCAGTTTGATATATGTTTCTATTTGAATTTCTTTTAACTTTTCTATGAACATAAAAATATTTAGATGAGTTGTACAAAAACTAGAATTAAAGCCAGAATGAAAAGACTAACATGCATTAGTGGTTAAAGTTGACTCTGCTGATACTTGAGCTCATACTTTAAATGGATACTGAGCTTCTTCACTTTTGTATACATCTACCAAATAATCCGAAAATTGTGTCACTCTTTCGTCATCAGGCTTTGATTTCATTAATAATTGACAAAATACTCATATACGCTATCTGAACTTAAAAATGGTAAACCGTAACATTGAACTATAAAATAACTACAGAAAATAAAATTTCTTTGATATAACTGAAAAATTACACAATTATAGAAACTTTAATAAGATAAAAGTTTTGTATATTTTACAAACGGCTCATAGCTTAAGTTGTCGCGCGCAGTTTACACTACAACTCTTTAACATAAATAAAAATTAGGGTGCAGTTTACATATACCCTTTTTAACGGGCAACGAAGTGCACATGGTCAGTTAACATATTACGATATATACTGGGCTGGTAACTAATTGACGGACAGACAGACACAACTAAGATCAATATTATAATGTGTAAACTTATGTTAAGAATTCTGAAACATGATATAAAATAACATTATATACATTCCAATATCAAAAAAAAAATTATCAAATATCTATCCAAAATTAAAATCCGTATTTTTAGTTCCGTGACAATTAATTTTAAAATACTCTATTGTATAATAAATATAACATAAATAGTAAATACATATACATATAATTATCTTGCACTCTTATGAAAATTAATAATAACAACTAAATACTTCACAAGAGAAATACGATTATACAGGTATAATAAATAAATTAAACGTTTTCTAGATCAATTAAATGTAATTCAGAAAATTACTCTTGGCCATGTTATTTGTGCTACTACAAATGTGGATCACGTACAAAGTGACATTTTTAAATTAGTCGATCACAAGTAAATATAAATATAAGAATTTGTTGTTTACCTTTACTATATTGTTAAATTTATTTCAGTTTATTTCCAACAAGCAAGCTAAAATGTGACGAGTTCTATTTAGATTTTAAGGAATGGCAAGAATCAAATGACTCTACAGAGTTGTAATCAAATCAAGTTAATTTACTACAGATGATTTACTACTTATAGTTTTT